TCACATGTGCACAGATTGTTGATCATTAAACCAAGTCCTATTTAAAAACTGTTCCCTCTGTGCTCCACAGTCTGCACACTTTGTGTGCTCAGCACTTCCACTGCAGACCAGGCCAGATACAGAGAACAAGAAGTTGAATATTTTTATGACCCTGTTTTGAAAAATAATGCAAAAAAGAACTCCCATTAGTCCATCCTTTGTGCAAGAGATAGCCAGGAAACATCTGCAATGCACAGCAGCAGCACTCAGGAGTCAGAGCGGAGGGGAAGGGAACAGGACAAAGCCCAAAACAAATAATCTGTTTAAAATCTGCAGGAAAGCTCCTGCTTTCTTTTCAAAGAAAACTTTCAATGCCACAGACTCCAATCAGTTTAAGACAGTCAGTGGCTTCCCATGCTCCCCATAAAGGAGGCAGGAGAGATGATCCACTTTAGGGAAGGTGTTGACACATTTAAACACAATGGTTTCCTCAAATAACTGGGAGCTATCCTACAGATTGCAACCCACCCACAGAGCCCTGTGCCAAAATTGGATAAAAATCACAGCATTCCCACAAGATCCAAGGAAAAAGCATGTGAGACATGAGCCTGGTATGAGTAATTCTGACTAAGAGCTTGACAAACAGTGGCAGTGCTGTCACCCTCAAAATGGAACCAGAACATTGGAGTGAAGAAATAGCAAATATCCAGAAGGGTCTACCATGGACAAGGGCTTGAAAGTGATGCCATTAATGCAGCAAAAATAAAGCTCAAACTCACAACTTGAAACACCGTCACAGGTCAAGAACAAGATATAAAAGAATGGAAAAAATGTGGATTGATGCAAAGACGTATAAAAGCTATTTGTACTTTGTGTTTGAGTTTTATTCCTGTGAACTCTTCAGCTTCTCAACATCTTTCTCATGCTGGTGGGGCAGGGTTGTGCAAACCTGGCAATATTTATTAAAGGTGATTGCTGCTTACCCAGTAACCACTAGTAAATTGCTAGTAACTACAAGTAAGAAGTAGAATTGTAGCTGCAACTTGCATTTATTCCATGAAACAGATGGATGAAACAAGCTCATGATGGCTTTTATTCCACAAATATAAAAAGATCACAGGGGTCAGGTTCTTGCAGAAAATACTGGAATTTTCTGCACACTCAATGCTAACAACAACCCCTCTTTAACCCCCAGTGATTAGTGTTGGATATGAAGGAGTATGGAAAGGATCTGGCATACCTTCAGCAAAGGCCAGTGTGTGGATTTGACACTTGTCACTACAGCTCTGTGTCATTTGCCATCTGAAAGCCCTGGCAGAACAAGGACTTATGCCCAAGGTCAGTCCTCTCTGGGAAGTTTTTTTAATGTGGCTCTTGTTCATTCTCTCTTAAAAAGTAATAAATGGCACCTTTAATTAATTGCAGGAGAGGGAATCCTGCAGGCAGCGGTATTTCTGTGCACTGTAGAATGTAATGGTTCTTGGGAGTACTTAGGTTTTAATCCCACAAATGTGTTCTGAGGCTCATGAAAGGTGCTGTATGTCAATAAAGCCTCTTAAAATGTGTAGTCCTGCATCTCCCCTGAATCCCTGGTTGCAGGGCTTGGAGAGCTCTTCAATTATTCCTGGGAAAATGAGCAGCCTGGGGCAGGTTTTGGAGAGGTCTGAGACAATTGTTTGGTGCCTTTCTCCGGAATGGTTTCTCTGAGATGCAGACATTGACTGAACCCAGGCACACAGCCCAGCTCCCACCAGCTGGGATTTGGTCTCTGCAAGGGTGCAGAGAGGAATTCTGGAGCAGCAGCTGCTTTGCCTTGGCAGCACCAAGGGAACTGTGTCATTTCTTACAAACTGCGTTTCTTATTGCTGGGGTTTGTAACGTAATAATCCATCAACCTTCACTTTCCCTCCCAGCTGTCATCACTTTTCCTACCAATTTTCCCAGAGGTTTATCTCTCCTTTGTGACTCCATAGGAATGCAGGGGACAGAATAATTTTTAAAATCATATGTTCAAAAGCATCATAGCCAAAGCTCATCTGAAAAAAGTGCTGTGAACCAATATCCTTGTCAGCAACCTGTCTCCAGCATCCTGACACTACTGCTTTGCTCATGTCCCCTGTAAAAGCACACAATAACTCAATTTTTGCTTTGACAAAAAGCCACAAAGATCCACATCACAATATTATTGTTGTTCAGCCTGGCTCTGGCTGCTGTCAGCTGCCAAAACACCTTGAGGCTGCACTTTCACTGTGTGATACTGGCCTGGAATATAAAAATACAGAACTACATTTAAGGCACTCAAGTCCTATCCTTCTCATGCAAAAATAATCTTTGGTTCTTTCATGTTTGCAGTTTTTGGAGCAGAGAGACTCAGCATTTCTATTTTGGTGTGCAAGGAATTTTTAGTGGTTTTATATTTTCTGGGGGAAGAAAGAGATGTACATGTAAGTACTGTACCATAAGGGGAAATCTAGGAATTGATAGGGAAACAGAATATGTTTTCTTTACATATCTATTTATTAATAATAAAATGGTACTGAACAACAGAGTGATTATATTTGCAAGTGATAGCAAATTTCAGGGAGAGAGGGATGGCATGAAACCTCTGGAAAACACAGATTACTGAATCTATCATACAACATTCTGAGACAAAGCCTATTAATGACAGATTCCCAAAGGGCCAGAAATTTACAGCCAGCTGAAGGGAAACAGAAGGGCAGAAACCAACACATTAAATCTGACTATTTAGCATAAAGTGGCTGAAAAATCCACTTATGGCCTAGGACAGGGGTGTGATTGAGAATTTCACCTCGTTTTTAGTGTAGATTATGCTGGTTTAATTTTTTTTCAGAACTTCACCAGTAATCTTCTTTGATATAGCTCCTTATCTCTTCAACTCAAACCTGAGTTTTGCTGTGATTTGTGCCACCCCAAACCCCAGTGATGTGAGAGGAGCTCCTGCAGGTGTGACAGAGTTTCAGTGCTAAAATCTGCAGCCAAAAGCTTGAAATCCATTTTCAGTTTCCCAGCTCAGTTTGGGGTGTTTGAGTGGGGTGCAGCTGCTCAGTCCTGCAAGGGGGAGCTCTCCAGCCCTGGGATGGGCAGCAGCAATTTCTGGTGCTTGGGGGAAATGTCAAGTGTCCCCATTTCCTGAAAGGTCCCCTGGTGATGTGCAGAAATCAGTGCAGGACAGAAATCCCCATCACTGCCGGGTGCCTGTGCTCTGATGAGAGCTGGCAAAGGAAAGTGCCTCTTTTCTCTTTGATTAAGGAAAATATTGCAGCTGCATACATTAACTATAGAAATTCTATAACAAGGACAGCCCTGCTGTAATAAATTAAATCATATTGCAAGTACACTACCAGGAAACTGTTTCAGCAGAAATTAAGGGTAGCAGGCCTCCTGAAATTAAGCTTCTGCTGAAATAAATTGGTAATATCTAACTAATATAGCTCAGCATATGTCACAAATGAGAGCGATGCTCTTGGCTGATAGTGTCAATTTAAAAGGCTGTTTGCATCAAATCATTTTCAGGTCTCAATTTGCACACCAGGGGTTATAAAGAACTTTAAATTTACTTTAGAACACATATTGAGTTGTTTGGCACAGTTGGATTGACAGTGTGTGGCATTAATTTCCTAAATTAAGTTACTGCTAATACACTTGTTAGTGAGTTCCTGATGGTTTACCACTTTCTTGAACATTCAGGAATATTGGATGCCATCACTATTTTCATGTAAAATACAGTTGTCTTTAAAGAGCTAAGCCTGCAACTGTGGTGGTGCTAATTTGGAATGTGATTACAGGAAAAATGTAACTCCCAAATTCCACTGCTCTAAAATACTCAATTCGGCTAACCATGGAAACATGCAGAAAAGCCTTGGACATGGGATTGCTTTTTAATCACTGCCAGCAGTTGATTATATTAGTGCTTCATTTCATAATTTTATGTGTGGTGTTAATGAAAATGTTACGGGAGAAAGCAGTAGGGAAAGAAAAGCGATTTGCCTCTCCTTGCTTAATAACTGCTTCTTGCTGCTCCATTGAGGTGGCTTTTCCCTCTGAAATTGCTTTCTGTGTGCTGGAACACAGCTCATTGTTCTTCTGGCTGACAGTGTAATCATTCTGCCTTGTAGAGCTCTCACTTACACACAGAAAGGCATTGCTGGATTACCAGGACATCCAGTCCTCTGGAAAATAACACATCTTTTACCTTCAAGAGGAAGCAATACTGAAATTCCAAAAATCTGTGGTGTGATTCCCATCATTTATATATCAGTGTATTTAATAACCTTCTTCTCACCAACCTGGTCAAGTCCAAGAAGCTTTAACAAACAAGAGAAGATTATTCTGCTGGCTTTTTAATACCACTACAGGAACTATATTCTTTCTCACACAACTTGCAAAATTCCAGTTGCCTTCTCACCTAGCTGAAAAGCAGAGAATCCTCTACCTTAAATATCTTATTTTGATCAATATTTTGATTAACACTGCTCTAAACTTTCAGTAGCACTGCTAGCACGTAGGTGGCTCATTAATCTGGCTGCACAAATCAGCTTTGCAGGACTGAGGGAGCTAAAGCACAAAAAGCCACACGTGTCACAGGGTTTAATGGCAGAGGGGTCTGAAAACCAAAGTGCAGCCCCCTTGCCTGGCTGTGTCTGAAGAGGAAAAAAGTGTTTATTTAGAACAAATACAGCATTTGAATTCTCAGCATGTAGGAACTAACAGTTTAACTACTTTACACTGAGTTTTACTCAGGGCTGCTGTGATTTAAGGAGATTTTTGCCTTGTGTCCCCCTTTTCAGGCTGTTTGGGGACATTATTCACCTGTGATGCTGATACATGTCAGCAGTACATAAACGTGAAGGGGGAATGAGGCAAAATAAAAGGTTTTCACCAGTCTTTACAAAATTTAATGGTGTTCCCCAACAGCTGCTGGAGCTCAGCCCAGCTCAGGTTTTGTGAATCAGCCCATAACACCCACAGAGGCTTTGCAGGGCAGGGCACAGCCCAGCTGAGCCTCTCGGAGGAGGGATGTGGGTTTGAAAGGCACAATAAAGACTTTTCAAACCGCTGAGCGTGGTTTGTGTGGCACCTGAAAATGTCACCAGGCAATGAAATGCCTGAAATGCTGCCTGGGCCCTGCCAGGGGGGTTGCAAGGCACAGGTTTGGACCCCTTTCAGCCCAAGGATTAAAGGAACGCGCTTTGAAAAAGAGAAATGGAAAAGAAGGTTAGAATTTTTTACTTCTTTTGTTTTTGTTTTTTGTTGGAGCCTATTTAAATTACTGCCAGCAGTGTAAAATGGATCAGAGCTGCCATCTCAATTTTTAATGAGACAATCTGCAAATGGGAAGATCTTGTGCACATGGTCCAGGTCAGTGCAAATTGTCCTTATGTGATGTTCTCTTTAGTAAGCTTTAAAGTACTTGAAATAGAGCATCCATTTCCCTGCAAAAGAGAAAGATTTTGTATGAACAGACCCACTTTCACCACTTTCTCTAACTCCAAACTAAACTTTCTTCTTTTGTTCCTGTGCTTGGTTGTGCTGTCACTCCTATAATGAATTCAGTGCTGAATTCCATAGCATGACTAAAGCCTTGCCTTAATTTATTTTGCTTTAGCTCGAGGCTTTAATATTATTATTAATATTTGATTCTTTATTTTCTCTCTCTCCCTGATTTTCCTCAAAGCTGGTTCTGCTATTTTTCCTCCATTATTTACCCCTAGGCTGAAGGCACATTTCCTACCTTTGTAATTTAGCAGTGGGATATGAACACAGCCAGGTGGAAATTCCTGTGTTGTATTAGATAATCCATAAACTTCCATTGCTAACCTATCTAATACAAATAATGGCATTTTGAATATGGAATTCCTTGAATTGCTTGTTTTTAAAGCAAATAAAGATAATTTTAAAACTTTGGAAAAAACCTTATTTAGGAAATTATATGATCCACCAGTAGAGTCATTAAGTTTGTTCAATTCTTCAGTCCTGTCAAAAACCTATTAAGTTCCAGTGGGTTCTCCCCAACACATAAATCTTGCCAGGCATCTCTTTCTTAATTACATAGCACAGGCTGTCAGCTTGCAAATGTTGTACAGTAAATTAAATTGTCAGAAATACCCAGTTTCAGGTGATTATTTGTGCTACTGAAGCTGTGCTGCAGAACTGGAAGGGCTTTCTTGGCCACTTTTGGGCACAGCTTTCAATACTTGTAGTTGTGGAAACATTTTTGGGTGGAGAGGAATCAGCTTGTATTCATCAACTACAGACTATTTGCTCTGTTTGAGCAGCCATAAAAGTCGAGGCAATGAGATGCCTCCTGATATTTTTAAGTATCTGAGGTGGATTTCAATGTCTCACTTGTCTCCTTGTACCAAATCAGGTCGGTGAGGGTGTGCAGCTATAGATAAGAAATAATTCAATTCCTAGTAAGCAAAAGCAATCTGTTGAAAAATTGGGATTTTTCTGATGAAAATGCCAGAGAATTGGTCTAGAAGTTATAATGAGAATATGTACTGGGTACTTTTTCATTATCTTTGATCCAAAGCTCTGGGAGCCTCTTCAGAAATATTGAAATGATTTCTTAGGAAAGCAATATTCCCCTATCTTTACTTTCCCATATATAAATTAACTTTATGCTCTCTGTGGCCCTTCTCTCTTTAAAGCGGAGACCAGAGAGCTGATTACCTCAATAATTAATTTGGCCTGACCCTTGTCCATGTGAATCACCCAGAAGGAAATACACTGGGACAGAAAATATATTGACTATTCCAAAAAACGTCCTTGCTCCAACCAGAGCCACAGGCCAAAATCTCCATTCTGTTCCCAGGCAGGATACACCCCTGAGCAGAATAATCCTCAAAATAAAGTAATGCAATATTTCTGTCTCATCTCACACTCTGATCATGGCAAGGATGACTTCAGTGAGAGGTTTCAGGGCAGGATTTTTGATTTACTGGAAAATAATGCTGTGGACCAGAATAGTTTGGTGCAACTGTTCTGCTACTTGTATTTTGTTCTTAAAATAAGGTACTCAAAGAATTGTGCATCGTTTTCTTTGCCTCATAGATTTTGTATTTCAGAAAATTTTGTTGCCAATTAATTCATCTGGGTAAATATCTATCCTGATAAAAGCTACAGGTTTTTAGTGAAAAGGCAGAATGTTGTGTAAGGCTGTGGGGGTGCTTTCAGAAATGGCTGATGCCAAAGGAAAACACAATTCTGTAAAAAGCCTGATTTAAAGTCAGTCTGAGCTGGGAGAGGGCAGAAACTCAAAGGTTTTGTGCTTTCATCAAGTGCTGAACTCGTAAATAATAGCTGTAGGTAGATATTTCAGGTAGATAATAACTATATTGGGGATAGATAAGCAATTTTGTGGTGCATTTTTATTGTCTTAAGATCAAGACCACCAAAATAATATGGGCTATTTTTTGTGTTTTTACTAAAAAATTACCCCAGAATCTACTTTCTTGTTAAACTTGTAACACAGAATATCCAAAGCTGGAAGATGCTTCTTTCCTTTTGGAAATGTGTCTCTCTGCAGCACTTACACTGTGTATAATTTATTTTTTAAAAATATATATATTTATTTAAATATTTATATAATAAATGTATCTAATGATTTTATATGTAATTATTTATATTATATATAATTATATGTAGTATATATTATTATAGATATATTTATTATATTTCATATAATAATTATATATTATATAATTTTTATAAATCTTTATATAATAATATTTATGTATAATGTTTATATATATGTCATTGTTATATATTATCAGCGAGATGTTGGCAGCTGATTGCATCAGTCATGGGAGAATTTTTAAACCTGCCACAATTTTAGTCCTGTTATGGGATAGGATGGAGAGATTTTGGATCCTGAATCCGAGAATGAAACTGGCAAAATTTCTACTGATCTCTTCTCTGGAGTTAATGTTTTAAATTTCACCACAGGCACATTTTTCTTGGACTCCAGATTATTTTCTAGGACTTTTTCATAGAATGATGGAACATCCTCAGTCGGAAGGGAGCCACAAGGAGCATCCAGTCCTACACAGACACCCCAACCATCCCCCTGTGCCCTGATACCCAAACCCTCCTGGGGCTCTGGGGCTGCTCGGGGTTGTTCCCATTCCCTGGGAGCCTGGGCAGTGCCCAGCACCCTCTGGGGGAAGAACCTTTTCCTAAGATCCATCCTGAGCCTCCACAGAGACCAAAAAGGACCCTGTGTGTACAGGTACCCAATTTCCTAAAACACTCAAGCCTAAATCTCACTATCTTTGGAAATTTTGGAATAACTTCACCAGTTTTGCTGAACATTTCCAGTCTGCTCAACCATGACAGTGCCCACTCACGCTTGGAATTGTTTTTTTCATGTGATGTGTTTCAGTAGGATTTCCCGAGGTTGTAAGAGATGCTGTGAGAGGAGAGGTGGGAATAATTGACTTTGCCCTGTTAATCTGCTCTTAAAACTTCCCTGGTTCTGAGCATCCCAGGGCAAAACCAGTCACAAACTCTTCCCCCAAGGTCCTGAAAAATCACCAGAGATGGGGAAAGGGGGAGGGATGGAGAAGGGAAGCCATGGGTGGCAGAGCCAAACATCTTCAAACATTTCTTCCTCATTTTTACACACTCAAAATCTGCCAGTAACCATTGGAACCTGCGAGCACCACTCTGTCCCTGGGATTTATGAGAGCCTAAAGTATTTACAGAGGTTTTAAAGACAGGCTCGTTTCTTTAAATCACTGCAAACAATGTGTCTTTAACAGTCCTCTGTTGTGTTCTGGTGCGTGAGGAACATTATCCTTGAACTTTCCCCCAAGGACCCCGGAGAGCTGCTAAAATCCGCTCACAATGAGCACATGTGCAGATGTGCAGACACAGAATGAGTGGAAGTACAAACAGGACCCCTGTGCACAGCAGAGCGCGCTCAGAAGCAGGGAGGGTGATGATTCAGGTACTTTAAAAGAGTTTTTAATGGCCAGTGAAGGAGGTTGTTTGCTTTAGGAAAGTACATACAATAATAATGCACGCACTCAGTGCAGAAAGAGAGGAGACAAAGCAATTATTCTGCTCTTGGTTGATGTTATTTGGATAATGAACCACCTAGAACGTGGTATTTTGCCAAGGTCCTTGTTTAAAATACTTTGTCAGGCAATCTGAACTGTAACTTATGCATGAATCAGCCCTGATGTGCTTCATTATTTTTTTCCCTCATTATGTTGCTTTTGCAGCAAACAGATCTCAGACTTTAGGGGGAAGTTTTATATACCCCAACATGAAATTGCTAAAGGAAACTTCCTCCTATTTCTTGGGGTTTCACCCTCCATGTAGTGACTAAATTGAATTTATAACAACAAGGCCACGGTGCTGGAGGATTTGCTGAGCAGAGCAAAGGTGAGGCCCAGGCAGGGCACTCATGGAAAAGGGAAATGTGCAAAAGTCTGGGCAGGGAATTCTGCTCTGCTGCTGCCCTGCCAGCTGACATAGGGTTTATTATAATATATATATATATATTTATTTTTATTTATTTATTAATAATAGGGATTATTGCATTGCTTGGCAGTGAACACTGGGAAAGAGCCACAGAAATGTCCCTCACTGAGAGGCTTTGGAAGATGCTGAGGATATTTCTTATCTGAGGTGCCAGTGATTGTTCAGCTGCATCTCTCATTTTGAGCTGGTTCTAAGTGTGGATGCTTTTTGAAGACTGAGTGGAAAGAGATTGACATTCCTTGGAAAAAAACCAAGGAATATATATTGTATTGTATATTGTATTATATATTGTATTTCCTGGCATTCTCTCATATGTAATAGGATGTTTGAGTTGATGCAGATTTTTGGGGTTTTTTTGATTGTAATGTCGTTTAAATATATTGAGAACTTTGAGCTGAGAATTGGAAACCCAAATTCAAAAGCTCTAAGAATTGGAATATAATGATAAAATTGTGCCATCAGTGCAGTTTGTGAATGACATTCAAGCTCCATTATAAAATTAACTCCTTTCTGTATTACCTCCTGTATTAATAAACCCTCTTTGATAGGTCCAGGGTTTTTTCACACTGCCATAAATTTCATAAAATTAAAGCAACTATTTCTCCTGCTCAGAACTTCCAGGGGAAAAAAAAAATTAGTTATTGGGAAACTTCTGATTTGAGTTCTGCTGAGGTTCCAGGGGCACAGGGCGGTGACCAAAGGTGCTTTTGAAAACCCTCAGTAAC